TGGGACATAGGACCAGTGAATTGACCCATTTCAGAAGCACCAAGTACGGAAACGCTCTGATCTGAAGGATCTCCGTATACTCCCAAGCTTCCAGTTCTGCCATAGAGGGTTGAGGTTGAATAACAGTGCAAACCATAAACTCTCATCACTCTTTGAACTGAAAGGCTATAGCATCTCTTTCTGCTTCTTCTTTTGAGAAGTGGGATTTTTTTTTTTTTTTAACAATTTTTAAGATCACCTGTAAATTGCTTAAATCTACCAGTGTTATACATTGCAGAATCTATCGGGTGTTTGCTGATTTAATGACACATGGGCTATGTTTTCATCACAACAAGCTCATTATAAGACTGTGATACGTAAAATAACAAACCCTGATGGGATTCCCAAGTGCCTTTTCCTCCTTCCTTTGGACAGATCTCCACAAGATCTCCACCTTCTGCAGAACCATACGGTCCCATATAAATCCAGCAACCTACCTCCCAACTGATCATTTTGGGAATATTTCTCTATCATTGAATTATCGCGGCATCGGAGAGTTTGTGCAATTTTATATTCTGTGTAAAGTAATCCAAAAGCGACAGCACAGGTTCATTTCTTTAGGTCAGTTAAGTCCTTGGTCTATCTGTAACCCATTAAGAGTCATTTAACAAAGACTGAATCCAATTTTTTTTTTTTTTAAAGGCTTTGTGACTTGCACATTACAAACTGTCCAGACATGAACTAGGGGTGGGTGCTGTTATATGCTTCATTTTGTTAGAAGAATTATTCCATCTGTACCACAAGGGCTAGGAAAAGATATCTAGAACATGGCCGTTTCTAAGGAGAGTCCTCATTATTTTTGTTTTGTGTCTCCTTTTGCCTCCATTCCTCCTTTTATTTTTGTATTATTTTCATAAGTGAAGGATTTTTAATTAAAGGAATGTATAAATTAGGGCAGGTGTGTTTTTCGTAGCACACAATCTTTGGAAATAAACCATTTTACCCATCCGTGCCATGTTTTAGGGGGTCTCTCTGGTTTTTGGGTGTTTTTTTTTTTTTTTCTTTCATTAAAAAACAAAAAAAAGTTGGTTAGAGTGCCCTTAACACCTTTTATAACCACGGTTAAGACAGACAATTTTATATTGTGACAAAGCTGATATGTCATCAGTCATAAGTAAAGATCAATATTTCAACGTGACTACATTAAACCTTGGAAAACACTAAATTAATGTGAATTTTGTATACATTCTGTGTGACCATTCTCCGAATGGTAAAGAACTACATGGATTTTACAACCACCCCTTACCTGGTTACACAGTGCTAATAAAATTCCAACTTTTGTGATCAAAGTTTCAATCAGGAATTGGTCAGGGTTGGGACAGATCATCATCATCTGTTGAATGGCTTACAAAATAAAAACAATAACGAGAAAAGTGTTACATGTTAGTGATTTTTATTTTATATGTTGCGTAATGTTTCATAATTTTGTGTAATCCAGAAGAGACTACGATGACAAATTAAAGCTGCAGTATCTGTTTGTACATTTGAAACTGCTTATTCAATTCTTAAACATGCCTTAATTTAATATTATGTTCAAGTTCATTAGATAAACTTTTCAAATTTATTATTGAAAATTATATCTTTTTTTATTTTTCGAATATTAGTTTATTTTAAGATTATGGGGGTACAGAAAGCAAAAAAAAGGGGTAAGGGTGACTTAAAGGGACACTCCAGGCACCCAGACCACTTCTGCTCATCGGAGTGGTCTGGGTGCCAACTCCCACTACTCTTAACCCTGCAAGTGTAAATAGTGCAGTTTTTTATAAACTGCAATAATTACCTTGCAGGGTTAACTCCACCTCTAGTGGCTGTCCACTAGACAGCCACTAGAGGGCACTTCCTGCTTCATAGCACAGGTTTTCTGTGTTAGAGCGTCGCTGGACGTCCTCACACTGTGTGAGGACCTCCAGCGTCGCTCAATTCCCCATAGGAAAGCATTGCATTAGGTCTCCCCGGCCAGTGGGCGGAAGGAGCGGTGGCGCAGGAGGAAGAAGCAGCAGCGACGTGGGACATGTCGCTGCCTCTAGTAAGTTACTGTAGGGGTTTTCTGATATGGACCACCGGAATGCTACACCTATACCTGGTTATTAGTGGTGAGTATAGTTTATCAATTAACTTGACCAGATAAATGCTATGCATCATCTCCAGTAGGTTTCCTATGGACCCTTATTTGGGTATGTAATTGCATCACTCCTTTTAGAGTGCTAATGGCACAAACCCATTTCTCTGTGGTTCCCCCCACCTCTTTCCAACAGGACAGGTAGGGGCATTTTAGAGATGAGTAATTGCCCTAAACAATAAAATACCATTTTGAGAGAAGTTTTAGATCTGGTGGGTGAATCTTGGCATATATTTAATAGTTTTTGAAATTGGTTATGAGTAATCCTCTCAGTATCAGAGGGGAAGGCTACATATATTAAGAGACACTGTAATTGGAGAGATGGGAATACATTTGTTTTAGTGTCTTAAAAGGCAATATTTTATCCTGATGTGACTACTGTGCTATGCGTTTTACTCACCTCTGGGAAATATTTTATTTTTATATACTGATATTTTTATTTTTTTTATTTTACATTTTCTCTGTTTGGGAGAAAAAAAAAAAAAAAACATTTTAAAAATTATCCAGGAATATTAAATCATTTGAAAAGCTCCCACTCTGGGTAGTCTAACCAGTGTGGCCCTTCTTGTTAGATATTACCAAAATGGAAGTTCCTTCTTCCACATTAGTGACCTCCGTTCCGTCCATATATGAACACAACTGATCTCAAAAACAGAATGGGGAGTTTAGTGTTATCAGGGAAAGAAGCAGGACTTTAGGGGATTTGGGTAAATGTGAAAGTATTTGAAAATGGTTTGACTCTTTACTATGGAAAGGTGCAAGGAAACAACAGGCACCATAACCACCACAGTGCACTGTAATGGTTCTAGTACTTAGATTGCCCCTTTAATAGCAAGAAGCACGTGGTGGATGCTTTATGGGGACAGATGTGGCTTGGGTAACCCAGGTAACTTGTTGGTTTGTGCTGAAGCAGTTTGACATCTTACCATGGGGGATATAGTTGTTATGGAGCTTTGTGTTTTCCTTTAACAATGAACTGAATAGTGTAATAATTTTAATGTTATGATTAAAAAAAAAATCTGATGTAATCTGTCTAAGGAGAAACTTCAGCTTGGAAATATGTAGGCAAATGTGAGTTACAACCAAGTGTCTCCTCTGCATCTTACTCTCCCAGGCTATTGCTAGAGTGTGATCAGTCTTGTTCCCAAGCCAATGACTAATTATGATCTCAATGGAGCAGTCTTGTTGTATTGTCCCTGCAGTATCACTGTTCAGTTCTCTGCCTTTTAGGAGTTAAATTACTCTTCTTTCTGTCCATGCAGCCCTAGCCATGGACTTACAGCTGGCATGGGAAAAATATTACATTTTCACTCAGATATTAACTTACTTTAGAAGTTTTAATGTCCTGCTCTATAAATTTAATTGGATCACAGTTAGCTCCTGCAAGGTCTAACAAGCTATTAACAGAGCAGGAGATAAGATATTCTACATTAAACACTCTCTGAATGGTAAATAACTACATGGATTTTACAACAGCCTCTCGCCTGGTTACACAGTGCTAATAAAATTCCAAACTTTCAATCAGGAATTGGTCTGGGTTGGGACGAATCATCATATCTGTTGACTTGCTTACAGAGCAGGAGATAAGACAATTCTAAATTAAACAAAATTTGCAACAAATGATGTGTTTAGGAAGGCTGTGTAAGTTACTAGAGCTGCATAAACAAAGTAATTTAACCCCTCTAAATGGCAGAGATTTGAGCAGTGATACTGCAAAGTTGTTTTAGTGACTATAGTGACCCTTTAAGGTTTATTGCTACTAAGTCAGCAGTCCTGAAAGGCATGCACAAGCTCCAAAATGTCTCTTTATTGTAGTAGAAATACTATTACATTACAGTAGCCGATTTCATTGTAGCCCAGTTTATTATAAAGGGAAGTTGTTCTAATCTCCACCTTAAAGGACAATTTGATTACGTAATTAAATTGTAATCAATTCTAAGGAATCTGTTGCTTGGTTTGTTTGTTTTGTAGGGTTTTTTTTTTAAATGTATTGTGGATTTAAAGATAAATGCTTCATTAATTGCTGTAAACATGTTTTAGAGAAGTTTAAATAAGGTTATAGAATTAACTGGTGTAAACTTTTTGCAGCTCGTTGAAATGTATTTTTGAACATATAATGAGCTGCCATTTAATTAGTCTTGTTTGTGCATTTGCTGGTTAGTGACTCTGATTTGAATTCTACATGTAGGCAATAAGAACACTGCTTTCATTTCAAATTTATAAAGCAATGTGATCTTTTTCACTTACCTCTCTTTGCAGTTCTCCTTACCTGTTTTATTTGAAATGGATGTTTTCTGTGCAACAGCAAAGGGCAGCAATCCATTCTGTCCTGTAAACATTTTTGTGAGGACGTCCATCTTCAGCTCCTACCAGTTTGTGTGGAGTTCTGAGATGCATTTAGCATTTTCCCCCTAGGTTTATGAACAACGTCTGTATGCCATATGTTCAACTTGGTCTGAGCTTTCCTCCCACACTAGAGAGCAGGCTCTTCCTATAGCTATTGATAGTCCAGTTCCCTAAGTAGTGATCTTGGCTGCAGATAAATTGATAACAGGTGCGTATTGGTTATCCTGAATGGAAAATAGACTTTCCTTTGGGGATTAACGACTTATCCCACAAACTGCTGTGCAAGACTTTATAAGATAATAGTTTCTGTTACAGTATTTAATCTTTATAGTGCATTAAAATAGACCATTTTCACCCCCATGATTTCCATTTTAAGCCTCTTTTAAAGGTATTAATGCATTTTGTAAAGTTTGTCTGATTCAGAATCTTGAGCTGCCTTGTCACGGTATACACCCCAATACGCAAAGTATGAACCCTCCAGAAACTGACAGAGACACACAGTAACATATTACCAGTCCTTAGCATTGCTGGGCTTGACATATAAATAATGAGAGAATGTAAATTGATTTGTCCAAGATCATTTGGTTTCAATGGGAGCCAGAGATCAGGGAAGCTGGGTCAAGCATGCCTGAAAAAAGAATAGTCCAGTCAAAAACAAGAGGAATGAGAACCACAACAGGGCAATGTATATAGCTAATGAAGCCCTGTGTAATTTCTGTGCTTCCAGACTCTGCGCGCACAATGTCGTAGGAATTACCCACCATCGATAGAATGATATTTGACTGAAATGGAGCATTCAGCACCTGAAATGATACCAGGGATTGACCTAGCATCAACGTGAATGTGAAGAGGACGTGCACCATCAACAATGACATTAGGACGTGCGGATTGCCACAATAATTACAAACATTGAGCAGTGTATTGCAGTCATACACAGATAACCTTACCTGCACTATGTGGTCAATTTACTTTCACATGTACTTTAATTGTACACAATAAATTACTTTCCTGTACTGCTATTCTTTGCTCATAAAATGCAGTGCAAATGATTTATTGGCTTTTTACAGCAGATTAATATTGGCATCTGATCTTCACCTGTGCTTCAAACTTGACTCCGTAATAAAAACGTCTCCAACAAAAGTGGATTTAAACAAATCAGGCATCACTGCAGACTACAACTCAGCCAAAGACATCTCATTGTTCATACTGTTACAAATGAACTAAAATATCCACCACATATTTATTTATTTATAAAATATTTTACCAGGATGCCAACATTTGCTTCATTACAGAACGTCCTAAACAGTGCACGGATTCATTGTAATCAGTAGGAAGGAGTCAAACTGCTGGAAACGGTCGCTTGAGCGGTCCACACCAATAGGTCATCTTACCTACTAGTTAGCACCACCCTCCAGCAACCATCTAGCCAGCTATGTTTAACCAGCAGTGTCATCACAAGACCACTGGCTTCCAAGAGAAAAATAAAGTTCTTTTAGCGGCTGGCTGAAGAGCACGGCTTTAGAACATTTTACACCATCAAGAAGAATCACACAAAGCCATAAGGCATTTAGAAGAAATGTATAATGGTGGCAAATGAATGGAGAAACTTAATAGGTAGCTACTAGCTATATTTGAGAAACTCCAGTCATGAGAAATGCTCTACTTGTTTAATGCAAATCTCCAATGTCCAACGTTGAGAGAACGTGTTATTTAAAAAAAAAAAAAAAAAATTACTAATGTAAAAATAAAGCATTTAGAGCTAAAAAGAAGAGAAATGCAAATATTTTGTGCATTTTTTGGAATGTCTATTTTATGCAATAAGAATACATTCCCTGTGCATAAAAGTTGTACATATCATGTTTGTGATAGTAAAGAACATCCATGATGGGGGAACTAAACTTCCAAGAGGCATCAACATCCTTCAATTTGATCTTGTGTTCTCAGGTCTATATTCGTTCAACATAATGGTGACTATGAGTAACAGATAAAGTCCTCATTTAATCTTCAACCATCAAAAAAGGCTTCCGTGTATACTAGCGCTACTTGTGAAGCCGCCATGTGCTTTTGTCATCAATGCAACACAGTCTTTTTTGGGGGGAGTATTGGTAGAAGTTCTTTTAAATTGAAATATAATTCTTCGAGTGTTGTGTGCGATACATATACAATTTAAATATAGGGGATGTTATTTATAAGGAATGTATATGATTTTTTTTTCACTCTAAAGTGTATACAAAAAACGATATATATAAAACAGAACAAAAACCGAGTGGGCAAATGTGAAAAAAGAACGGGCATTCAACTGAAACCGTATTATCTTCTGCATTTTCCCAAGTGTGTTTTTTAACATAATATCTGTTCCTATATACTAAAGGGAAATTATTCTGAAACAAACAATAGTATTGGGGAAGTCCCAGCATTATTATATTATTTTTAGCTCAATATGTTGTAGTATTACATTATAGTTTACGTTAATCAGTATTGTAGTTCATATATAAAATCACATATGTAAATTTTGAGCATCTCCCTAACTTTATATCGATTTACTTGGATAATGTATTACCCTTCTATTGAATTATAATACAATACATAATATTATGTATAATATTGAGAAAAAACGGATATTCTGGATTCTGAGACTGTCAAGGAGGCAGATCAGGGACAGAGCCAGCACAAGTCAAACAAAGCCCTGGCCAATCAGAATCTCCTCATAGAGATTAATTGCATCAATGCACATCTATGAGGAAAGTTCAGTGTCTGCATGCAGAAGGTGGAGACACTGAATGGCAGTGCTGCATACTCTGCAGCACTGCCAAAAGAAGCACCTCTAGTAGCCATCTGAGGAGTGGCCACTGGAGCTAGGTTGTAATGTAAATACTGCATTTTTTTTTGTTGAAAATTCAGTGTTTACAGTAAAAAGCCTGAAGGGCTTGCAGAACAAATGCAATAAGCTGTAGTTGTTCTGGTGTCTATAGTGTCCCTTTAAAAATTAATGTAAAATGTGGAGCAAAATTAGGTAAACCTAGTTCTTGTACTGGCACCTCACGAATGGAGACTGGTTGGGAAATGTACCTTTGTGAGGGTTGCTGGGGATACTTTTGGGGCACTGGCTATTTCGACTGGCTTTTCTGTGCCTGGGAGACAAAAAGGCAGTCTCTTTTCCTGCGCCTTAGCTCCTAGGCACAGAGGATCCTGGGATGAAGACCCCTGTCATTTGGTGTTGAAGACCCCTTACATGTGTGGTGGGCTTTCTGTACCTGGGAGACAAAGAAACTAGGTCCCTTTTTCCTGTGCCTTGGCTCCCAGGTACAGAGGATCCTGGGATAGAAACCGCTGTGTGTTTGTATTAGTTACATAGCTGAAAAGAGACTTGTTTCCATCAAGTTCAGCCTAGTCCAATTTTGCCACAAACTAGGAAAAAATTCCTTCTTGACCCCAAAATAGCAGTCAGATGTCTCCTTGGATCAAGCAGCTATTACCCCACTAATTAGAAATTATATCCCTGTATGGTATGTTTTTGTGGTAAGTATGTTTTTGTTGGTAAGTATTTATCCAATTGCAGTTTAAACCTCTGTAGTGACTCTGACAAAACCACCTCTTCAGGCAGAGAATTCCATATCCTTATTGCTCTTACTGTAAAAAACCCTTTTCTTTGCCTTAGATGAAATCTCCTTTCTTCCAGCCTAAATGTGTGACCTCGTGTCCTATGTATAGCCCTGTTTATGAATAGATTTCCAGATAAAGGTTTGTACTGGCCCTGAATATATTTGTATAAAGTTATCATAACCCCTCTCAGGCGCCATTTTTCCAAACTAAACAGATTTAATTTTTTTAACCTTTCTTCATAACTAAAATGCTCCATTCCTTTTATCAATTTTGTAGCTCGTCTCTGGACTTTTTCTAGTGCCATGATATCTTTCTTCAGAACAGGCGCCCAAAATTGCACAGCATATTAAAAGTGTGGTCTTACCAGCGATTTATAAAGAGGCAAAATTATACTTTCATCCCGAGAATTTATGCCCCTATTTATACATGACAAAACCTCACTGGCCTTAGCAACTGCAGATTGACATTGCATATTGCTGCCTAATTTGTTATCTATAACAATTCCCAAATCCTTCTCATGTGTTGCTTGTGCATTCTTAACCCCGAAGTGCATAACTTTGCATTTCTCTACGTCAAATTTCATCTGCCATTTTAGTGCCCAGTCCCCCAATCTATCCAAATCCCTCTGCAGCAAAGCAATATCCTGCTCACATTTTATTACTTTACAAAGTTTTGTGTCATCTGCAAACACTGATACATGACTTTCAATGCCTATTTCAAGATCATTTATAAATATGTTAAATAGAAGTGGTCCCAAAACAGAACCCTGAGGGATACCACTTACCACTTTTGTCCAGCCTGAAAATTTACCATTAATTACAATTCATGTACTCTATCCTTAAGCCAATGTTCTACCCAAGAACAATAATATTCATATAGACCAATTTCTTTTAGTTTGAAGACTAACCTATCGTGAGTAACCGTATCAAATGCCTTGGCAAAATTCAAGTAGTTCACATCCACTGCAACACCCTGATCCATACTTCTACTTACTTCTTCGTAGAATGCAATTAGGTTAGTTTGACATGACCTATGTTTCATAAAACCATGCTGATTATTGCTAATAACAAAGTTCTTCCCAATGAATTCCTGAATATTATCCCTTAATAGCCATTCAAATATTTTCCCAGTTACAGAAGTCAAGCTCACAGGTCTATAATTTCAAGGCAAGGATTTTGAACCCTTTTTAAATATGGGAACAACATCTGCCTTCCTCCAATCCTCCGGTACAACACCTGACACAAAAGAATCTTGAAAAATTAAATACAGAGGTTCACTTATTTCCCCACTTAGCTCCTTAAGGACTCGTAGGTGAATACCGTCAGGCCCCGGAGCTTTATTTACATTCATTTTCTTTAATAGCTGTAGCACCTTGTCTCAAGTTATCCAATCACAAGTTATTTGCAAGTTTTTTGCAGCAATCATTTGCATATCTCTTGCCATAGGATCCTCATTAATATATACTGAAGAAAAATAGTTATTTAAAATTTCTGCTTTTTCCTGGTCTTCATTAGCTAATAAACCCAACTCTGTTTCCAGTACCTACACTTTCATTTTTTGTTTTTTTTAGAATTGATGAACTTGAAAATTTTGGGGGGATTGGTTTTGCATTCTTTAGCTATCAATGTCTCATTTTCTAGTTTAGCCACTTTAATTGTCTTTTTGCAAGCGTTATTGGCTTCCTTATATCTTAAATAGGATGCCTCTGATTTGTCTGATTTAAATGCTTTAAATGCCCTTTTCTTATTTTTAATCTCTTGTTTTACTTCTCTACTAAGCCACATTGGTTTTAATTTGTTTCTTTTATATTTATTACCCAATGGTACATACTGAGAAATGTACCTTTCTAATCTTTGTTTCCATTTATCCTCAGTGTTTTTATCACTAAGGAGTTTATGCCAGTCGATATGTTGTAGAGCTGCCCTAATCTTATTGAAATTGTCTTTTTTTAAATTATATGTTTTAGTATACCCCACTTGCTTTTGCTTTTTTGAGTTTATTTCAAAAGTTACCATATTGTGATCACTATTTCCCAAATGCTCCCCTACTTGAATGTTGGTTAAAATATCAACATTGTTTGTTATGACGAGATCCAGACAAGCATCCTTTCTAGGTGGTGCTTGTAGCAGTTGTGACATAAAAGTGTAATTTAACACATTCAAATACCGGATTCCCCTTGCTGAAGTACTAGTCCCTCTATCCCAGTTTATGTCTGGGTAATTAACATCTCCAATAATTAATGTGTTACCTCGATTTGCAGCTTTCTCAATTTGCTCTAACAGCTGTTCTTCCTCAATAATATTTACATTAGGTGGTTTATAACATATCCCAACCAATAATTGATTTCCCTTTGTTTGCCCCAAGCAGATATCTACCCATAAAGCCTCCACATTTTCCTCATCACACGCCTAAGATTTGACTTTAACTCATAGTTGACATATAAACATACCCCACCACCCTTC